TGTATATATCCTGGGCTTGTGTCGTGGCTCTAGGACGACCTGAACGAGGTCTATCATCAGCATTGTGTGTTTGTTGGTACCGATTCCACAGTATGCTGATCACGGACTGTGACACATTAAGCATGTTGGCTACTGCTCGCTGTGTAGAACCCATTTGAAGCATGCCAATAGCACGTAGACGTTCATCATGTTGAAATAAGAACCGATAGGAAAGCAAACATGGATAGGATAAACCAGCATACGGCAGTTTTCATCAACCCTTCCTTGAAGTGTCAAATTTGACAATGAACCCCTCCCACGTGTATGGCGCTATTGCGTGTCACATGTGCAGCTCGGTGGTTCTGTTGGGGAGATAAGTTCTTCATCTGTGAACATAAATGAAATGAACTGGGGTTTAACGTCCTACTCCTATACTGGGCTAATGAAGATTTATCGTATCACAACCTGCATAGGTCAGGGGTTTCATTAACAGCCGGCCGCCGGCAAATTTCCGCGGCTACTTGGCTCGTTGGGCCGGCTATATTATGATTCCATCTGAGAATTTATTATGTCATGAAAAGTTTGTAAAATGGAGTACTTCTTTAAGTATAAATGTACTGGTATACAGAGTTTTGCTACGTAATATAGAACGGGTAGCCGGCAAGTTTACAAACTGTACTCCCAACAATAAACAGCGTCACGCTTTTCGAGTTTAAAAGTACAACGTGATAATCAAGAAACAGGCGGTATTCTGTATCTCCTTTCAAAAAGAGTTACCGGTGTAGTTTAATATCGTGCCTTCCTTTTTTTCACCCACTCTACTCGAAATTTCTTAACCATCAATTACATTTATACTCAATATAAAAGGTACTACGAGGCTTATCTCTTTATACCTTACAATTTTACATATTTTCTTTTGAAAACTGTCATTTATACCGGCTAGTTTTCACGCATTTCAGAGTTTCCGATAACTGGTATTTTAACTTCCCGTTGATCCATGGGACCGGTGAACAATGATAACAGAAAATCATAAACCTCAACAAAATTAACTGCTACTTTATCTTTCCATTCATACCTCATGTCAAAAATCACGTGCTGACCATGGGTGTCGAAAAGTGGTGCTATTTATGGTAACTTGGGTATAGGGGTTTCTACCGTCTTAAAGATCGCTGCTCAATGTCTGCATGATCTTCACAAAATGGCGCCAAAGCAGACGAATCTTTCGTACTTTAACGGGGGTGGTGATACAAACATGCATGTATCAAACGCAAAAGAAAGATCGCCATATCTTTCGTAGTTACAGTGAGTAGTGCACCAGCGGAGGAAAGAAGGGTTTACGTCGGTAAAACTTAATATACGTCTCTGCGTAATCGTTAAGTTTTTGTCTGTCACCTTTTAGTTTTTATTCATTCGATGATGATAGACAAACGACACACTGATCACGTGACAACCATAATTGAAATTGCTATAAAATAAAATTTTGTTTCACTATCTGGAATAGCCTGCAATAATAACGACAACATTTATAAAATAAAGATTCTGTCAGCATGTGTATTATAAAGTAAAAAATCATAACGTTAAACAATATTTAAAACTTAAGCTTATAACATCGCTGATTCATTGACCTAATTCCAACGATGTCACGTGTCATTGGTAATGGCGATTCTTTCAAAAAAATATATAATTAATGACTGTTTCTCGGAGTATTTGGTGTTTTATCAGTGGATTATATTCAATGAAGATTTAAATTTAACTAACAACTGGTTTGTGAAACCATCAAAAATGTATGATCCAATTAAAATTTTAATATCTACCTGGAATTCATATGGACAGGTCATGGAGCGTCAAAGACGTGCAATTCTCGTAATTCACAATACAATCCATGACGAGATTATATATCGGTAAACTGACATGGAATAAAATACGTAGTAACTACCCACCCTACACCCAATAATAATAATAATGACTGAAAAACGAAGTTTAATAGCCCACGATGTATTGATGTACCAGACATCTATATATACATTAGAAAAGAGATTGATAAAGGGATCGTTGAGTTAACGGTTAGATCGACCCATTTTCCGCGACTGCTCCAAACTGAGTTTTCAAACCTGTTCACTAGTTAATTACCGTGTGTGCTAACTTTTACATTCAAAAACTATTTACCCGATATTATAGGTTCTGATAGAAATACAGAGATGCCCATATTTGGCCTTCATATAAATTGATGAAAGTGGTGTAAAATCAACCAAATTGCATCATATTGTGTGCCAAAACGCAAAATTTTCTCAGGGGGGCATGAGCCCGAACCCCCCTAGGTTATTTCGCGCCTTTGGTGCTCAATTCGAACGCCTGCGGCGCTGATAGGTATTTGCATCTGAATATCTCCTACTTTTTTTGAAGAGTATATATGCTTATTAAAATTAAAGCTGAAAAAGCTGATATTTCAAATTTTAGCTTGATCCGACTCACATTTCCCGAGATACGGTCCCCACCCATTTTGAGGGGAATTTATGCCAAAATGTTGGTTGCTGCCATTATTCAAATGACATAACCCAGTAACCAATAGGTAAAAATTGCTGGAATAAGTATTTCTGGAATGGGAAAAAGGATGACTTGCTGTTTGAATCATAGTTATCTATCTCCAGGAAAGTCTGCGGCAGGTTACTATGTATCCTCAGAGCTTATCCATGAACATAATCCTGCTTTAAGTGCAAAGACACTGAATTTCAGCCACAAGTGTGAAGATTTAACTTGATTTTACATGCTTATAAAAGATATTATACCTTCAATCGTTTGACATTGTGTAGAAAACATGTTTAGCTAAATGTTTCATGAAAGTTCATCGCAAGGTCACATGGTCTACAAGGTCAACATCAAAGTCAAAGGTATTCATTCTTTAAAACACACCTGGATGTCAAATATATGTGTAGATTTAGAATCCTTGTGAAATTATCACTCCAGAAATACTTTTTCCAGCAATTTTGACCTATCGGTTACTGGGTTATGGTCATTTGAATAATGGCAACCATGCCCATTTTGGCCGAAATCCCCAAAACTGGATGGTCCGTATCACAGGAACTGTTAGTCGATCAAGCAAAAAGTTGGAATATCAGCTTTTTCAGCCTTAATAAACCCAATTTTAGCAAAATTGAAGGGGGTACGGTTTAACTCATTGGGTGATGATTGATGATTTTGGAAAAATCGAAAAAATATTGAGATGGCATGGGACAAGAATGGTTTTAACATATGTTAGAGACATTAGTACAAACTATCATTACACCAAGTTTCAGATCTTTAGGTGCTCACGTACCGGGTTCTATCGTCTCGAAAATATGTGTCTGAAACCATATTCAAGGCCAATTTTCTGGGAATCTACATATGTTTCTTATGTAGTACAACTGGCAATCTCTGGGTAGGCCAAAATTTGGGTCTATATCTATTACTTTGTAGCTCCTGGAGCACTACAAAATCCAGAAAATATACAATTACACCAAATGTTTTTCGATTATTATGGCCAAGTAGCATGCGAACCCTACCAGTCACCTGTAATCTGATTGTAGATTCATAATCTACACAAAAAGTTCTTTAAGACTACCAAATGAGCTGTACATATATATGTATATCTTCACTAGAAAGATATTAATAAGATATCTGATACTCAAGTAAATCATTGATACTTATTTTGTTTTGAAAACTTATCGGTAAGTCATGAAACTCAAATGCCTGTATCTCAGTCAATTTTCAAGCTACAGTTTCTAGTTTTTACATGTACAATATCATATATTTTTTTCCAGATTTTTTCGAGGGGGTCGATTTCCAATCTCTGGCCCACTTGACATGGAATGACCCTATTGTGCTAAAATGACATAAGACTTTAAATGCAGGCGTATAAAAATAATCAGTGATAGAGTTAATATTTTATAAAGCACAATAAAACTCATATTAACATCTCAACATGGATTCTAAGTCCACAAATCATCAATGCTACAAATCATCTCAACATGGATTCTAAGTCTACAAATCATCAATGCTATACAAATCTCAGGGGGGGCAAAGCTAAACAACCGAATTCACACTGATTAATGGCCGGCAAGTTTTACCAGAGATAAACCAGGGGTAAAGTTGTCTCTGGGATCGAGATTGTCGATCATCATAACTGTACTAAGTCTCGATGAACCGTATTTACGCTTAAATATTTTAAAAAAAATGTATTCCAATCTGCTAAATATTGCAGGCTAGCGATGGCATCGAGAGTTGATTATGGTCTGGATAAGTTTATTAATGTCTAATTAATAATTTAAATAACATTTCATGCCTAAAGAAAGACCTAATAATATATTTTTCCTGTTGCCAAAATTAGCAAATTTTTAGCCTTAAATAGTATTCTTCATTTTAATTTAGTATGTCATACACATGCTGACAAAGGCTTAAGTTTTAAATAGCATTCTTCATTCTTTGCTGACAGGCTGAAGATTTAAGCTTTTGTATGGAATTTTATTTTATGGAGAAATTACAATTACTGCTAATTTCAATTAGCAACACTCAAGGGATCTTTAACATGCTTCCAAGGGAAAACCAGACTAGGAAATCCTGACGAACTGCATCAGCCAATACCATGTTGACAAGTCAGACATGTACAGTATAACAGTACAACAAAAACCTAATTAGTAGTAGTACCTGCAAAATTCACCCTGAAGAATATTGTCTGTCAATGAATAAAAATTTGCAAAATCAATGATGGGCAAAACCAACAATTTGTGTTAAATAGAGAGAACTATTGTTATGCTATAGAAGCTCATTTTTTGATTTTTGATGCTGTGGTAGAAAAATCCTAATTTTGAGGACTAATCTCTGCATTTACTATGTATTATAGGTACACGTACATGATGTATAATATCTTATATCTTGTTCAATAAGCCTGATAGGTGATACATGACAAGCTAACAAGCAATAGAACTTGAAATTAACACCAGTCGAGCAACATATTTGTTTTATTTGTTATGTATATATGTACATACCTGATGAAGGGCTGTTAAACCATCATCATTGGTCAAATCAGGATTTACACCTCTTGCCAATAGTTGACCCACTGAAAAATATAAACATTATTTGTCATTCTGTGTCATTAGCAACTGCTACAAACTATTACCGTAACAAAATATTGATTTTGATTTGACACATCATTACGGGTAAACATACATACATGTATTAGACTACATGAATAACCTTAAAGTCTGGAAGCGTCATTTTAGCACTATAGAATCAGCTACAAAGTACAATATGTGAAAGATGAATCTTTTAACAGGAATATCAGTGAAATCAGCGGCTGCCAAGCAGGATACGCCAACATTTTCAAGAGGTGGATAGAGAACAAGTGATTTTTCCTACAATCAAGGGCCATAATTCAGGAAATTACAATTCGATATGCGCAAATATCGAAAGGAACCAAGATCTTTGGGTTATAAACTTACATTTCAAGTTTCAACAAAATCGGATAAAAATTGTGACCTCTATAGGGTCCACAACCTTGATATACCATATTTTTACGCTATTTGAGAACGAACGGCAGCCATTTTGTCTGTCAATTTTGGGCCGAACTAAGTCGTCCTTAGGGTGTAACGGTGATATAATAATACGTTTTTTTAAATCGGATAAACATTATGACCTCTAAAGGGTCAACAAGCTAAAAACGCGATTTTTTGTACAATCAGGGGCCATAATTCAGGAAGTTACGGTGCGATATGCGCGAATATCGAAAGGAACCGAGATCTTTGGGTTATAAACTTACATTTCAAGTTTCAACAAAATCGGATAAAAATTGTGACCTCTATAGGGTCCACAAGCTAAAAACGTGATTTTTCGTACAAACAGGGGCCATAATCCATGAAGTTTCGATACGATACATGCCAATATCGAAAGCAGCCGAGATCTTTTGGATAAAAACCTATATTTCAAGTTTCGTCAAAATCGGATAAGAATTGTGACCTCCAGAGTGTCCACAAACAAATTGTGGACGGACGGACGGACGGACGGACAGGGGCGACGGCATAATACGTCCACATGAAAATGTGGGCGTATAAAAATGGGTGTGGCTCTATCCCTGGGGTTGGATATGGAACAATATAAATAGGTACCACCCTGACGTTATTGAAATGACAACATTTATAGTTGCCGTCCTTCGGGTATAAGGAATAAGTATACCAAGTTCCAAGATAGATAATCCATTCAGAATTGTGGCCTTCAGGCGCTAAAGGCAAAAATTGGGCGTGGCTCTGCCCCTGGGGGTCGGGGCATTCACCAGAATCAATAGTTGACACCCTTAGGCTATAAGGAATACATATGTGAAGTACCAAGTTGATCCATTTAGAATTACAGCCTGTAAACGATAAACACAAAAATTGGGCGTGGCTCTGCCCCTGGGAGTCGGGACATATCCTAAGTTCAAAGACAATCCATTAAGAATCGTGGCCTGTAGGCAACTCACAGACACACAAAGAAAAAAATGGGTGTGGCTCTGCCGCTTGGGGTTGGGCTTTCACCAAGGGTATAAGGAATAGGTACATTGTATGCAAAGTTTCAAAAGGATCTGTTAAGAATTGCGGTCTGTAGACCACACAAATATTGGGTGTGGCACTGTCCCAGGTGGTCGACCATGCACCAAAAATAATAGAGGTCAGGATTAGGGTATAAGGAATAAGTATAAACAAGATGACTAGTCATCACCATCCCGCGCCCTTGCACGGAAGGCATAAGGAAAAACAACTTCTTGGAATATCAATGGGACTAGTCAAGATTCATACTCTGATCACAGTAGCTCAGCAGGGCAGGGTTGCTATTCACTATAAGGTTTGCACAACAATCTTTGCCTACCTCAATCAACTACTGTATGTTAAACAATAAGCTTATACATCAGAAATCAAATACTATAATAGGTTGATGTTTGTACAAAGTTTCAAAAAGATATCTTGAATGGTTTATGAGATATGCTCCGGAAACAAAATTGTACACCAAAAACTAAGTCATTTTTGTTTCCATGGAAACACAAAAAATATAAATTTCAGAAATTCCTAAATAGTAAAAGGCACAACTACTGTAATAGGTTGATGAGGACAGTAGTTCAGCATGCCGGGGTTGCACCATCAGTTGCGCCCAGAGTCTAAATCTTTAGACGAATCTCACATTCCAACACATGGAATAACCATGGGACTAGTAGTAGTAAGAATATTCTGAGCACAGTAGTTCAGCATGTCAGGGTTGCACCATCAGTTGTGCCCAGAGTCTAAATCTTTAGACAAATCTCATATTCCGACACATGGAATATCAATTTACAAAATTTCATACTCTGATCACAGTAGCTCGGCAAGGCAGGGTCGCTACTCCCTGTAAGGTTTTCACAACAACCTTTGCCTACCTCAATCAGCTGCTGTATGTTAAAAAATAAACTTATACATCAGAAAATAAAATACTATAATAGGTTAATGTTTGTAAAAAGTTTCAAAAAGATTTCTTGAAGAGATAATAAAATATGCTCCAGAAACAAAATCAGGATAAAGGCTGGATTTCAGAAAATAAAATAATGGGTTGATGAATGTAAAATTATTTTAAAGGTATCTTGAACAGTCAAATGAGTTTCAATGGAAACACATAAAATTATCAAATCTGAGAAATTCAAAATAAGTGCCAGGAAGATATCTTGAACGATTTATAAGATATGCTCCGGAAACAAAATAGTACACCAAAAACTATGTCAAATTTGTTTCCATGGAAACACACAAAATACAAATCCCAGAAATTCCTAAATAGCAAAAGGCACAACTACTGTAATGGGTACATGTCTGTACAAAGTTTCAAAAATATATCTTGAACGGTTTATGAGATATGCTCCGGAAACAAAATTATACACAAAAACAAAGTCAAATTTGTTTCCATGGAAACACAAAAAAATGTAAATCCCAGAAATTCCTAAATAGCAAAAGGCACAACTACTGTAATAGGTTGATGTGTGTGCAAAGTTTCAGAAAGATATCTTCAATGGTTTATGAGATATGCTCCGGAAACAAAATTATACACCAAAAACTAAGTCAAATTTGTTTCCATGGAAACACAAAAAAATGTAAATCCCAGAAATTCCTAAATAGCAAAAGGCACAACTACTGTAATAGGTTGATGTGTGTGCAAAGTTTCAGAAAGATATCTTCAATGGTTTATGAGATATGCTCCGGAAACAAAATTATACACCAAAAACTAAGTCAAATTTGTTTCCATGGAAACACAAAAAATATAAATCCCAGAAATTCCTAAATAGCAGAAGGCAAAACTACTGTAATAGGTTGATGTGTGTGCAAAGTTTCAGAAAGATATCTTGAATGTGGACGTATAAAAATGCCAATGGCGCATCAGGTCTTTAAACTTGACATTTCTTGTAAATAAAAAAAATAAAATAATAATAATGCATCCCTTTCGGTCAATCTGTTAGGTCAAAGGTCATAGTCAAACCTTGGCACATGAGAGGTCGGCTATAGTAGTGCAGTACAGCATATGTTACACATTCCACCTGCCACTATGTGACGTGACCTTGATGACACTACAAGGTCATCAAGGTCTTTTGAGATTTCTAATACATGTATAGGAATCCCAAATAATAACTCATAAAATATTGTTTTCATCAAGAATGAAAGTTTTCCTGCTGTTTGAATTTATTAAAGATTTCTTAGAAATCTGTTTTTAGAACTGACATTGAACTAGGCCCGCCTCATTACCATATAACGTCTTTGGCCTTAGCCTCGATGTGAATGTCCTCGCCTGGCTAGTCAACGCTTGCATTTTTTGCCCAATACTAACGCAGTTGTTATTTTCATTTTTTTCCCTGTGAGATGTCAACAAAAGGAAGACAACGTCGTCGGGTGAATGCAGGTAGGAATATGACAGATATTATCAAGTCATTGGAGGATCATCAGTCAGACAGCGAAGGGGAACTAAGCTTAATAGACGAACACGCGGACGAACAGTCGAGAAAATCTGGCGTCCTGGCGAACAGTAGTAACACAGCCGTGTGGGACCCACAGACATCTGTAGTATCTCAGATAGAAACTAGTGAGAGTGTTTCGTTGCCAGGTGAGGAACACATCAATTCAGTGAGACGAGTGGATACTCGCGAAACTCTAGAGGCAGAATTGAATTCATTGAATCAACGGAGCCAGATACTAATTCTAAAACAAAAGATTGAAGCAGAGAAAAAGAAAATTGCACAACTGGAGACACCGCTTAATGAATCCGAATTATTAGAGTCAGAGCCAAAGGTTGCCGAACCTGCTAATCGAGCAAGTACGTTGATCAAGACAACAGGTGAGCTCTCCCGCTTACTAGCCTTTGACAATTCGGACATTGTACAAGCCGTCTCGACCCACTCCAGCAATAACTTGTCTGCAAAACCTAAAGCCCTTCAGATCCTTGATTACATATGGGTCGATCCAGTTCCCCAGTACAGCACATATACCTTTGGTTCAGAGCTAGAATTCCGGGTCGCCAAACGAAAAACATTGGATAAAGTGTCAATGGAGGAATGGGGGTATGCTAATACCTCCATTCAACTAGACCTGATTAAAACTGAAAGCATTGGTCAGGAAGATATCGTCTCTTACCTAAAATATACAGCAGACATACATCGTTTGTCATCAAAATATCATTGGTATTCAGTCTTACTTTACGATAAAGAGTACCGTGAAAAACAAGCAGCTGAAGGTTTTCATTGGGGGACACATCGCCAGGATCTCAGAGAACTCCAACTAGTCCCAAAACGGGACCACTCAACAGCTATAGCTTATCAAGAAGCAAACATTACAACCAACCCATATACCAAAACCTGGCTCTATCTATACCGATCACCTGTGCCTCAGCATTCGCATTTTAATCAGCCATCATCGCGTAATAGAGGTCCATTCTTGCCGGATGGTCGGGAGATCTGTCGAAATTTTAATCACAATTTATGTAATAGAATTGAATGTAGGATGGTCCATTGTTGTGCCATTTGTTGGTCACCCGCACATTCGGCTTTAACAGGTCATCAGAGTAGCAACACCGTGTCAAAAA